AGTATTATCCTAGTTGGGGGACACTAGATTTATACGTGCAGGAAATGCAGCCTCATTAGAATAGTAAAGAAAACATTTTTCTTTATAATCGATATACTCACTGGAACACTATGCATATTTCCAAAACTGTAGCAGAGGACTGCAATGACAGCCTCAAACTTTTGCCTTAAAAAACACAAGTGAAACAGCAATGGATTTTTACCTTTATTTTTTCTTCTTCTTTTTTTTTTTTTTTTTTTTTTTTTAAGGAAAGTGTTTTATTTTTTGTGCCTCAACAGATGAAATTCATAACCTTGTTTCTGATAAGACAATTGAAACATAGAAATCAATTACAACAATGTGCTTTCTAGCTTTTATTTCTTCATTTAAGTAACTGACAATTTGGAAGGACACAGACAATAGGGCTGTAGCAGAACAGTGTTACAACTAAAATCAATTTCTATGAAAAACAATCACAAAAGCTGCTGAAAATCCAAGAAAGGCTGATCTTTTGATCAGAACAGACTGCATCTTAAGAAAATGTTTGTAATGAAATGAAGTGGTTTATAACTTTCTTTTTGAACAAAGAGAGAGGAGAATCCTTGTATTAAGACAGGATCTGGAGGGAGAATTTTATCACACTGAGTAAATAACTTTCCCATTAACAAGTATGTTTCTTACCCATCTTTATGACTTTTCATTCGTATACTGTAAAGACCACCAGAGCAAAATGCTTGTGCTCTTTTTTAATGTATACCCTCCTCCTGTTTGCAGTGGTTTGGGTTTCTGCTTCAGTAAGTTAAGCCTTAAAGGACAAATTATCTCTCACATGCCTTTTTGTATGCAGTTCTCTAAGATGGCATGCACATTCAGCAAGTACTCCCTTTAGTTTTTCTTGACTTCATCACACACATTCCAGTGTCTTGAGCTGATGGTGGTCTTGAATGGAAAAATGGACGTATGCTGGTTAATCTTGTTCCCAAGGACCAGTTATTATTTTTTAATTGTGCCAGATAGGCCCATACCTCAGAAATAGTTCCCAGTGACTGCTGGATGCGAGGCAGTAGCTGGCCATTAACTATCAAATGTGTTTCACTGACATTCACAGCAAATTCTTCTGGCTTCAGTGCTAAATCAGAAGCTGGGAATGGGGAGGTTCCAAGTGTTTGGCTCATGTATAAGCAAAACAACCTTGATTCAAAGATGAAGATGAGGTTGGCCACAATTCAGGGTTGTGGCAAATAGTGTAAACAGTGTCAGGACAAATACCCTATGATAAACATTGGAAGCAGAAATTTGAAAAGTGGATACTTAGTACCTTATCTATTAAAGAGTTGGAGAACCTGTGGGAATGTTAGCTTTCTTTCAATAAACTTTGATTAGAGAGTAGAGAAGCTATAGGGCCTATTTTGATAGTCTTGTAGAAGGACCGAATGGAAATGTTTTTGTAGTAGTAGTAGCAGCAGTCTGAGTTCTTGGTGTGACACTTGACAGCCTGAAAACTGATGTGTGGTTTGCATTTATTTCAGCATCTCTCATCTATAATCAAAGGCAAAGAGACAAATCTTCACAGATTCTTTAGGAGATGAATCATGTTTTTCAAGCATTGCAAACCACTAATTAAATGAGGCTTTAAGAGGTTCTTTCATGGAATATACCACTGAACTGGAAAAAAGACAGAGTCTAGGTATGCATCTTTCACTACAATTTTCTTTTATAGGCTTCTGCTGCTCTGCAAGAACATATATTCTACAGCTGTTGGAAATGTTGACTACAGGTCAGACCACAGTTGTCACCACATTGCCATCATCTTCTGGAGCACTTTGGGCAGCAGGGGTTGCATTTCTTAAAAAAAAGTGTTTTTTTGGTCTGATAACAATACCTATTACTGCATACCAACCTACATAGAAAATTATCATTCCTCATACAAGGATGGCTGAACCATAACTCCTTGGCTTTATAATCCTTAGGGAAATAGCAGAATCTTCCATTTGAAAGGTGAATATTGTTATTGTATTCTCTAGAGAGTTAGAGGACCAGGATTTTTGATTACAGCTCAGAAATCCTGACTTCCAGCCTTCTGCTTGTGTTACTAGCCGACAGCTATGCCTTCCCCAAGTCAGGCAATGCTGATCTGATGTTCTTTATCAAAATGTGACAGCCTGCCAAACTCATGAAAGCCAACACAAGATTCTGTAAGGCCCATTAAAATGCAAGCTTTTGTATAAGTCAGAAGGCTGTTTTGTCTCTAACCCTTTGGCATGACATGTCTGTTCTATGTAAAAGCAAAGTATTATCTGCATTGCATTAGAACTGATGCACTGCACAGATGCACCAAAGGTTGGTAGTTTTTTAAGACAGGATGTTGTTTGGTTTCAGTGGTAGTAATACTTTACATAATGGATGTAATCTATTAGTCTTTGAACGTACATCAAAGAGCTCTTCTAGCAAAAGTAATTGATTAAATTTATTATCATTGTCTTCCTATAATAAAATAAGTGTGCTCTCCATCACTTGTGCTTTTGAGTTATATAAATAGCAAAGTTATTGGAAAATAGCTCAGAAAAATATAATTTCCACTTAGGGACTGATGAGGTAAATAAGATCTTCCAGCTGGTGATTACAGCTTTAACTAGCTCAATGTATCCCCTAGCTATTAATTAATAAATCAGCTCCTGCAAATCCAAATAATTTCAAAGTTATTTAGACAAGGTGTTAAGTATCAGTGTCATATAGTTATTTACCCAAGTTTTAATTTATTTTATTCTCTACTATCTAATCCTGTATTTTACTAACTTACTGTATTATGTTTCCCCTCAATTTCTAAGGTTGAAACTTACCCTTCCAAGAACACAGGCAAAATAAGGTTTTCCATGTGGAATGTCCTATATCTAGGAAAGAAGAAATTTAGACCAAATCTCCCAGCCTGCCATTGAGTCTGTAGACAACAATGTCAGGTCCTTTGCAATAACTCTGTGTTTCTCAATCCAGTAGTTTCAGATTTATTCATGCTTTCCCAGCATGAATTATCAGCCTCTCCCACAGTACAGATAGTACAGGAGACAAATAAAGCCCTTTTTATAGAGTGTCATCTACAGCTCTATGTGGGAAGGTTTTATGGTGCAGAAAATTCACTGTAAGCATTCTCTCATGTGAGAATAACTCAGTCCATGTGAATTGAGCTTATTAATTGGTAAATAATGTGATTTCCCATTTCCCACTACCTTTTTCAAATACAAAAATATTAAACCCAGGCATTTCTTAAAATAAACTTTGGATGCCAAGATTTGTTTATTTAAAGGTTACTGTGGTATCCAATATAGGGCTACTAATTGTGAGACAAATCTATAGTGGATCTGCAAAAGTATAAATATTCTCAAAAACTTATGAAAGTGACTGTGCTCTAGAAAATTTGGGATGTTTTTTTAAAAGCTGAAGTGGTGTTTGTCTGATAAGAGTTATCTATAGTTACTACATATTTTTAAGAAAAGAGTAGCTCTGGAGAGCACATTTTTTTTTCTGTTTAGACTCTGGCCTTAATGTGGATTATTTTAATGAATTTGTCAGTGATTGCCTGATGTAATGGTGTTTTTCTCTACCTGGTTATCATGGAGAAAACTAGTAGTTTCTTCTACTGTAAGAACTGGAAATTACACACTAGATCCTGTGATATAGGAACAGGATCCACCTTTTGAGATATTGTCAGATAGCCCCAAAAAGTAACCTGTATCCATAAAAGAAATCTAAAGCTTAGGGTAGAGGAACCTTTCAAGAAACAACGTTTTTTCCAAACTCAATGTTCTCAATGCGGTGGTAGAAGCAATGGCTCTTCTTTCACGTCATACTGAAGCAGTATTGTAGTACGCTGCAGACTGTTAATCAGATTACCAAATTAAAGGAAAAGAACATGAAAATAAAACAAATTATTAACATAATCTATAGTTAAGTTTAGCCCACAGATTCACTGCATTTGACAGTCTGCTGCAGAGGAGGGTACAGTGGTGCAAGTCAGCCAAACCCTTTTGGAAGTGTCAAATGCAAATGCAGAAGGATAAAACAGATTTCACGAGGCACAGGAGAGCTCAGATTCAGCCCCTGTCTGTTTCTGCTCTCAGCAATCCAACATGATTTCAACCTGCTGCTTCCTTTCTTGAGGTAGAAATAACAACTTTGTTTTCCCTTTGTAGTGAATAGAACCCTGGTTTAGAGGATGGGTTCATGACTGATAAATCTTATTTCAGATGATCCCAGAAAGCAGAAGCAAAATTCTCTGTGGTGAAAGTACCTAGATGTGGGAGAATGGGAGTAGCAATATTTTAGATTATGGCCCGTGTCCTTCAAAGCTGATCTCTGCCATTGATTTGGTGGATTTGGCAAGCCTCAGGGGTTTGGTATAGCTTTCAAGCTCAACAGAACCTACTTTCTACCACTTAATTTTTCTGGTGCAGTTACAGTGGAGTTTGAATACCAGTGATTTCATTAAAAAACACATTTCGGATGCAGATTGTCAGTACTGGTTGTCTTCCAAGTGACACACAGCTGGTGAAATCTCTTTCTGCTGTGCTCTCCATGGTGCTCATAAGTGGCAAGATTTTTTTCTCAGCATTAGCCTGATTGGTATCCCCATCAATTACCTGTACACACTGTGCAAGCGAAAGTGAGGGAACAGACTGGTTGATACTTCACATGGAGGATAAATCCCAAAACACATCTGAATGTGATGTAAGTTTTCCTCTGTGTCTGAGGGCTTCATGCAATGAAGGAGCAGTGAAAGTGAGTAGATGAAAAATACCTGCTGGAGTCTTCTCTTTCTGAATGTAATGAATTATATTCTCAGTTTGAGAGTGGTGGGTCTAGGCAGATTACCTGTTGTGACGGTTAGTTACTAAGGACCTTGGCTCTGGTGCTGAGAAAAGCGTACTTTCCTCAGCTTAGTTTCTTCCACTACCCATTGAAAAAAAAAAAAGTTATCAGCTACAGTAGAGGAAATGATGTAAATTTTCTTCACTTTTCCCAGTAAATTTTGCCACTCCATGGAATTATTTATTTGGGTTTCACTTTGGATAGGTATGATACACATCATGACATAAGCCCTAAAGTAACTTTTAAAAAGACATTCAGGACAACTGTCTTGACAAACAAAGCTTTTTTTTTTTTTTTTTTTTTCCTTTTTTTTTTTTTTTTTTTTTTCCATTATATTAGTATACTTTGTTCAAACATGAAGCGAACTTATGGACAAACTTGACTTGTCATGTGTTTCATGGATCATAACAGCAAGGCTGTTTCATTTCCCATCCATACTCATGATCATATATATTAAAATAAATTACAACACTTTTTTTTTTCTGGTTAACCTTGTCACCTTTTAAAAACAATATACATTTAATACTCTAAGTAAGAAAAGAACAAAACAAATATAACTCTTTTTTTGCACACACAAACATATACATATGATCTACATGTGCTTGCAAATAGATTTCAGTAAGTATGATGATATTTTAATATATATGCACTATGGCATTCCCTCCCCAAACAATGAGAGACTCGCTGTCATTTGTACCTGCTCAGAAGCCAACTTCCTACTGTATGGCTGTAAGCTCACCAGATCAGGGCTGTCATTTACTTCATACTTATACAGTGCCCAGTGTAATGAAGCCAAAGTGTCATTTGCTTTTAGATATCAAAATGGTATAAAAGAATTCTTTAAGAAGCAACAATATTTTGTTTTCTAAAAGATCAAAATTATTAATGTGTGTACAAGTTGACAACCATCTTCCCAGCTGCCTTAAAATTTCAAGCCATTGTTCTTGGCTTATGTGTGTAGAGATAATGCTGTTGGCTTGCAAATACCACACATGAAAATAGGCAGACTTCTTTAAGGTTACAGATAGCCTTTTTTTTTTTTTTTCCCATTTTTTTCTTTCTTCTCAGAATCTACATTTTCATATTCTCCAGCTCAGTTAGCAGTGGTAAATATTAAAACAGTCCAGAATAAAAGATATGCTACGAGGCGAGGAAAAATTAAAACATAAGTTCTGCTTATTTTCCACTATAGCCCATTTAGTATAAAGCAAAAAAACTTCGATTCTTTTATCAAAATTTTAGTGTAACTAACGAATAACAGAATGGTGTCAAGAGGATTTCTTCTGATTTATATTGCCTGAATAGAGTAGAAAATCTGTTTTCAGTCTCTTACTTCAACACTTCTGCTTCATGACAATTTTGGTACCAGTTTGAATAAATACAAATAATTAAATTATGAAGTGAAAGTCTGTTCTTTTGTAGTCTTATATGACTTATTTGAATATGAAGGATAAAGTATCCTTAGATTTAAGTTGAAATATGATGCAACATTTTCTTGACTGTGCCAGCTCTTTTCTTATTCTGCTGAGGCTATAAATAGAGATTTTTATTTCCAGCTGGCCTTATATCCAACCACCTGCTTCTAGTAAAAAAAAAAAAAGTCTCAGACTCATTCAACCTGCAGATTGCTTTTGGCATGGAGCTATCCCAGTAGCAAGAACCTTACAGAAGTTGGTTTATTTAATTTGCAGGAGGAGCTTTACTCAAGCTTCTTCTTCCTTTTTTATTTTAATTTTGGTTTAAAGAGGGTTTAAGATCCTGTTTTGAGATCTAGATTCGAAATGTCATGTGAACATGCAGTGAAACTAAACCAAATCCAGAGATCTTCATTTGGCATCACAGTCATTTGAAAATGAGAAGGGAAGAGGACAGAGCTAAGAGACAGACAAAGGGAGCATGTATCACTGGACCAAATGGCTGTGTTTCTTCTAAACTGCCAAGGGAAACTGTGTTTCTAATTCTTATTACAATTGATAGGAACAGGGCATCCAAATTGCTTAGCTAACTTGAAAATTGTTTCATTGATCGTCCAGAAATCTGGCCCTTTGTCTTTTCCAAAGATGTTCCTTTAACTCCTCCAGGCACATTTTAACTTTTAAACTACTGGATGAAAGTTTTTTTTAGTTCTTCTTTCTTAGTTTTATTCAGCACAAAGAGCAATCACCTAGGATACTGAAATAAGGTCAGAAATCATGTATCCAGTGTTTTCCCACATGTTGTCTTATGGCACAACTACAGATCAGCTGCAGCAGACAGAGATTTCTAAAATACTGCTGCTGTGCTGGTTGTTTTATTTGAGAAGACCAGAGTTTCAGTTCAAGGAGGAGGGACAGCTTGATCACATGCTCCTTTCCCTGCTACTCCGTGTCAAGCCACATTGTGAGCTGAGAGGATGGGAATGGACAAAGCAGTCATCATGCTAGCCCCAGGTAGACTAGGATCAATGAGGGGAAAAAGATCACTAACAAACTGACCAGCAGAATAGGCTTCCCCGTCCTCACTTCTTGCTGATGTTTCACTGCTTGGGGTAGAGGTGGAACAGACTGTAGCTTATTTATACAAATTTTGTCCTGTTTGAAGAAAAATGAGTAAGGATTCCATTTTATTACTGGCTAATGGATCCTTTTTTTTTACAGGATGCAGTAGTGGATGAGGCAAAATAACAATGACTACAGTTTCTTGGCTGTCCCTGCTAGAAACTGCTGTTGTCCTTGGGCAGCCAGAAACTGCTTGCTCTATTGGATATTCAGCTGATGTGTCTTTTTCTGGGTTAAATGTGAGCTTCTGGTGTTGCCACATCCTGAAAGTTTTTTGGGAGAAGTCTAATAACTAAACCAGATATCTAAGCATGGTGTAGGAAAGTACCTCTATGCATCTTTGATGTGATTCAGTAGCAACATGGTCTACATTCCAAAGTTTCTCTTTCTTCTATCACAAGGTTTAGATAAGACTTTTCATTACATATTAAAGCTGGTTTCTTACTGTGTTTCATATGCCTTAACTACAATTTGTGGTGTTGAGGGTGCAATGTGGCTTTCTCTCTTAATTTTCCTTATGGTGGTATAATTGTTACCATTATAGGTGATGCAATACCATGACGCAAGAAATAAGGAAAAAAAGATAACTACAATTCATGTAAATAAAGGAAAGCTTGAATGGCAGTGTGACAATGATGTCAACTTAATTAAAAAACATTTTAGTTAAAAAATGCCTAGTGATATCAGCTTGCATCAACAGATCTCTAGAGGCTCAGAGTTTCCTGGCTGATTTCAGTCATATCTGGAGCTGTTGACACTGTTGGCACTGGGAGCATGTGTGAATGGTGAGCGATGGGAAAACAGAGGGTAAAAGCAGTCTCCCAGTCTGCATCTAACTGAGCTGATATTGTGGATGAAGCCTTTTTGAAAAGAATGCTGACAAGTTAATAAGAAATGAAGGGGGGGAAAAAAGAAAACCACCTCAAAACCTAAAAATAATATAAGGAGGGGCACTGCTTAGTCTTAATCCATCTTTATGTCATTGTAAACTCTTTTCTTAATACACTGCTGCAGAGTCCTCTTTAACTCACTCATGGGAAGCCTGAGCACTTGTACAGCCACCTGCTATGGAAGAGGAGTACCTATCTGTGGAAGTGGACTTCAAAACGTATTTGTTGGAGGCTCAGCACTGCTCTTATATGAATTACTGACAAGGATGCCGTGGTACCTGCTTTCTCAAATTTCTCTGCTGGTTTTGACATTTCCAGTTTTCTCCTTTTCTTCAGAACTATTGCTGCTCCTCAGAGTCTCGTTGCACTGACCGCTGGGTAAGTTCAGGCTTGGCATTGTGCCAGCGTGGGAGGCAGCCAGTGTACAAGTCATAGATAAGGAAAAGACCTTCATGCCCTGTTTTCATGGCACGTATGCACTGTCCACCTGCGTCTGAATATATGAGAGCAGAGCCATGTGGGTCAGATGCCTCTGCACAGCCCAGTCCTTTTTCTCCCCTGCAGTAAGATAAACTGTGGTGTCTCCTTGGTCTCTAGCAGAGAAGCAGAAGTTACTCTATCAATAGGGATTACAGGCATTCAGCCACTACGTTGTTAAAAAGATTGCCAAATAGGTGCTTATCTAGGTCTGACCCTGATGCTGTATTCCTTATTCACTCAAAACAGCCACAGTGAGCGTGTGTCCCACAAATATATAGAAAGAAGACTATGTGGAGCAAGATAAAAGCTTGCCTCTGAGTCTTGCTGTCCTTGCTTCTGTTAAGAGATGCCATATGCCTTGCCAAGTCCACGATGAAATAAGTAGGCTGCAAAAAGTAGAACATTGCTAGCTGCAGGGAGCAAACACTGATTCTTAAAAACTAAATACTGACTGAACTCAAGGCGATACACACAATGCTGACAGCTCTGCAAGGTGGTGCTCAGCAAGAGCAAGCGGTGATTTTCATCACCAGCACACATTTCACATAGGTAACTAAGCACATTACTGCTCAGAAATCCTTGCAGTGCACTAACAATGCAATCACTTTTTAGAGTCATTCTAAGGGAACAGGGGAATTCAGCAATTCATAATTAATCCTAAAAGCACATTTTTTCTAGTTTTTCTTTTTTTTTAGAGTTTTTTTTTTTTTTTTTTTTTATTGTGTCATTTAATATGAAGCAATCAGCTGCAACTGTGTAGAATTTAGGAGAATTTTTGCTTCTAACATTGAACATGAAATGACTGCAGGGGCAATAGATTACTAGTTGAAAAAATGACAATTACAAGGGAAAGGCACATGCAAATGTCTTCAACGGGCAGTTCAGAAACACTTTGTTTTATCCCCATTTGTTTCTTTAGCTGCCCACATTAAGGTACAATAGAGTTTTGGACTTCAGTGCGGTGGTTGTTGTATCAGCAAAAATAATTTCCCTGGTGTTAGAATTTAGTCAGGGGTGTTTCCATTTTATTAATGTTCTACAAACTGTTATAGAACAAAGAGGATTAGTCTCAAGCATCTCCATAAATCTCCAACTAACTAATTCAGATCATAAAAAAAAAAGGAAGCAAGAAAACCCAACTCTGAACTTAAAGCCAACTAAAGTGAAGAAAATTCTAACAACTCTTGTATCCTCCCCAGTTTGGCAACCTAAAATGTAGCAACAGTGCAACCAAAGATCAACCACTAAGAAAAGAGGTTCTCAAAACTGCCTTGCCTCGTGTCCTACAGTTATATTAGGGTTACACATGGGGATTGCAGCTGGATTTTACAACTTTTGGCACATTTCCCTTGATAGGAATGGGAGATCTTTATCCTGCTTATAAAATGTCTGCCAAAGAATGTGGATACTAATTTTAAAAGCACCTGCATCCCATTATAGGTCAGCCTGACTTTGGTTTCAAAGTGCCAAAATCTTATATTAAGATTGGACACAGCCTCTTAAGTCTTAATCTGAGTGTTCTGTCTTATATTTTCATCTTCATTTTGGCTAAACATGTACAGAGTTATTATTATCCTTACTCCAGGTTATGTCAATCATTTATAAATTGTATTTGTTACCAACAACTTAGCAACAAACCTATGGCTCATAATTTCTGAAAAATTGAGAGGTGGCTGAACAACTCTTTATCTTCCCACTGCTGAGAATTTCAAACCAAGAACAGTGGTAACAACAATAAAGAATAAAGAATAAAGTTTCAGTTCTGAGCCTTTTGAAGATTTGTTTAGAGGCATAAAAGAAACAAACAAAAAGGTTACTTTTACTGAACTAACGTTCCACTTCTGTCTCCTCTTCATTAGAAAAGCTTCCTAAAACCTGGAAAAACTTGCCCCTCTTGCTCTAAGATACTGCCCCTGAAAGAAACATAACCACATAGTTATTAAAATGGCATCAAGAATAGCTAAGTAATCTGTTCTTGGAAACTAGCTTTGCGTTTATGTGTTATCTACAAATATACAAGATGAGAATGACAGTGGCTAGAGGTTCATTATATCTGGCAGTATGTTAGCCTTTTTTGAGGCTATCATTTTTTAAACATTATTTTAGTATTATAATCCCCATATTATGCATGGACAACCGTAGTTTACTTGGCATTGGAGAAGAGTTCATTCCTAGTAGCAGAGAGTTTATATGTTTTAATTCACTTGTATGAATAGTAAGATGACCATATTTCCCACGAAGTATGCAGAATGTATTAAGTTCTTTCTTTTTGCCTAGTACCCATTAACATTTTAACAGTAGCTTTGAAATTAAAATCAGGGATAACAAAAAGAGCTTTCTCTTTTAAAGGTAGAACTCAACTCCTCTATGCCAGCAATGTCTAGTGGGTTGCCTTCCCTGGGTGAGATCCAGGGCTATGTTACAGTAAACTGGTCCAGTGTGATATCACAGATATAAAAAATATTCCATTCTGTATCAAAACTAGGCACATGCCTTATATTTATATGAAGAGAAGATCAACAGAGCTGAGCAATTTTGCTCTCAACTATTTATCTCTGGCCTTCTACATGAGGAGAAAAATATCTTATGTTATTTCTAATTAGTAACTACAAGAGTCTAATTTGGGTTAGATGGTAGATAAAAGGAGGGTGACATCACACTTGGGTCAGTATTGGTGGATATCTAAAAGCACAACCTCTCATTTGTATTGCTTTAAAATGCACACAGTATAGATGTAGATTAAAAAAAACTACCAAATTTTTGTGGTGTTGAACCAGCTAGAAGGGATGATGCAAATTTTTACCAAATGAGATCTATAGATACAAATTTCACTGTAGAGTATGTTTTAGACAAATGTGTCTTTTTCTTTAAGTATGTAAATCCTACACTGTAGGCTTTTTTTTTCCTTTTTCTTTTTGTAGTGGTAGAAAATGTTGAACAATTGTCCATGAACATGAGCCAGCGGTTCATTGCTGATATCCCCAGAATGCCAATATTTGCAATGCAAACAGTTAGTACAATTTACCAGTTCTATGAAAGGCCCTGACATATCTGCCTCAAGGTTTGGAGGCTCTGCTGTATAACCACAAATAGTCTTTCCATTTTCATGTAACCTTTTGATACACTGACAGCTGTATTAAGCTGCTTCTGCCTAGCAATTCCACATGCCAGGCTGGTTTAATTGGTTTTAATGCCACAGAAAAAGCACTCCTAGCAGAATACCATCAAATCATTTTCATATTGAACCTTCGTGGTCCAGCAACCTCCCCTTCAACCACAGCACCATTGTTTTTGCGAGGGACATATTCAAGGTCAATGCTGGTTTTGTGTTTGCCTTTCCCTCGGCTCCACACAAAAAGAAGGAGGAAACAAAATAAAACCACTCCAAGGAATGTGAAACAGCCCATAGCTGTGGACACTAATATTGTCTTAAGGTCCAGAGAGAAGGTGTTCACATTAGTTCCATTGGAACTTGTGTCGTTGGAGTCTGTCATATACATAGGGGTCCTGTTGGCGTAAAGGAAACGGTCTGAAGTAAACCCCTTTACTGTAAGGGAGGCCGAATAGGTGTCATTCCCAGCTGCATTACTTGCAATACAAACATAGATCCCAGTGTCCTGGTCTTGAGCAAATCGGATCTCCAGGGTGCCATCTCCCAGCACAGTAGCTCTTCCATTTGATTTAGTTGTGACCAGTCTTCGACGTGGGGTAACCCAGGATATGGTAGGCTGCGGATCCCCATCAGCATTGCACATCAACTGCACTGTCTGCCCTTCCTCCACTACCAGGTATTGCACCTTCTTGTCTTGTATCTTGGGCTTCTTACAGGTGAAGTAAAAGGAAAGAGCTGTGCTGTGAAAGTCTTTAAATGACCTCTCTTTGACACTGTCTGGACCAGCACACATTGGTGGCTGGCCTCCAAACTGCAAAGTGGGTTGTCTTTGTAAAATCCAAAGGAGACGGCAATCACAGGCCAGAGGATTGTTGTTAATGCAGAGGACCTCAAGGCTTTTGGGGGAATGGAATACATTCTCTTCTAGGGTTTCTAGCAGGTTTTGTGACACATTAAGAACACGTAAGAATCGGAGCCCTTGGAAAGCGTGTGATTCAATGGTACGTAGCTGGGCCCCCACCACATGGAGTTCCTGCAGGCGCACTAAATCTGAAAGCATGCCTGCTTCAATGGTGCTGATAGGGTTGTAAGAGAGGTTTAGATGTGTCAGGTAAACCAGATGTTTAAAAGCAGAGTAAGGTACTGCAGACAGATTGGTGTTGGTGATGGAGAGAGAAGTAAGGTTGAGACCGTAGAGACTGTTAGCAGGTAGCATGTCCAGGAGGGGCCAGGCCTCTATCTCTAGGTCTTTCAAGCGAAAGAGTCTTTTGAAGGCATATGCAGGCAAAGCGTTAATGTTAAGCTGTTTCAGATGCAGACTGATGAGGTTGTGGAGGTGAGAAAGAGCTTCTGTTGGTACAGCTGTGAGGTTGCATCTCTCCAGGGTGAGCTGCTCCAGGCTAAGCAGTCCGCTAAAGGCCCTGTGTGATATATAAACCAAATCATTGTCACCAACCTCCAGAGTTTTTAGGTTATGCAGATCTTGGAACATGTAGTCCAGCAAAATGACAATCTTGTTTTCACTTATATCGAGCTTTGTTAAGTTTGACAAACCAGTGAACACCCCAAGGGGGACAAGTTTCAGACGGTTTCCTTTCAGCCTCAGGGAGCGCAAGTTGAAGAGATTGTTAAAGGCTCCAGGCTCCACATTGGCAACTATATTGTCACTGAGGTCAATCTCCTCAAGCAAAGGATATGATGTGAACTCCTCCGGGTTGACGCTCTTCAGTCGGTTCTTGCTGAGGTCCAAGATTTTGGTCTCAATGGGAATGCCCTCTGGGATGGACATCAGACGCCTTCGGTGACAGCTGACAGATTTGTTCTGGGCTGAGCATTCACAGCGGGCTGGGCAGCCTATGGTGTGTCCCATGAAGACTAGCAGTACAGTCAGACCCAGGAACGGCTGCCAGCATGATACAGCTGTGTGACGCATGACTCCACTGATCCGGTCTAACCCTCCGTCACGGGCCTGTGGGGATAAGGATGAGAAAGGAGAGATGATAAGTCTGCAGCAAAAAGAGATCTCTGCTAATTTTACAGTACCATTTCAAAGCAGACATGTGTGTTTTTATTTGAAACAAAAGAAGACCTATTAAGAGAAGTGTGGCCAGCAGGTTGAGGGAGGGGATTCTTACCCTTTACTCCGATCTCGTGAGATCTCACCTGCAGTGCTGTGTTCAGCTCTGGGGTCCCCAAAATAAGAAAGACATGGACCTACTCGAGTGTATCCAGAGGAGGTGATGAAGAAGATCAGGAGGCTGGAGCACCTCCCTTATGAGGACAGGCTCAGAGAGCTAGGATTGTTCAGCCTAGAGAAGAGAAGGCTCCAGGGAGACCTTACAGTGGCCTTCCAGTACTTAAAGAGGGCTACAGGAAAGGTGGAGAGGGACCCTTTATCAGGGGGTGTAGTGATAAGATGAGGGGTAATGGTTTTAAACTGCAAGAAGGTAGATTTAGATTAGATATAAGGAAGAAATTCTTTCCTGTGAGGGTGGTGAGGCACTGGAACAGGTTGCCCAGAGAAGCTGTGGCTGCCCCCTCCCTGGAAGGGTTCAAGGCCAGGCTGGACGGGGCTTTGAGCAACCTGGTCTGGTGGAAGGTGTCCCTGCCCGTGGCAGGGGGGGTTGGAACTAGATGCTCTTTAAGGTACCTTCCAACTCAAACCATTCCATGATTCTATGATTGTGAATGGCAAGAACAACAAAAAAACCCCAGATTTTCCTTCATTATCATTAGGCTTTTCAAGGGATCTGTTTATCCAGCATGCATTTCCCCTCCAGATGTCAGAGCAGACGTAACAGATTTTCCTACTACAAACAGTAAAAGAGGTTAGGTTTTACTTTTTTCTCACTCTCAGTGAGTCTCCTCAAGTCAGAGCTATAACTAATGCACAGATAAACATCATACACTTTGCAAATAGGGCTAATCACGTTTTACAGCATTGGGCCTCTGTGAGGTGGTATGAAATGAGGCTTTTGTCTTTCCTATTCATGTCAGTGTTTTAAGGCAAACCTTAATGATGTATTATCTTCAAGAAAAGGAGCTTCTTGATAATGAAAAGATTCCTTTTAAAATTTAATGCATACATTACATCTATAAATAGATGGAGCTTGTTCGCACATACACATACACAATGGCTCAGATGAAGAAGGAAGAACTGATACATCTCTGATTAGAATTTATATTAGGGACAAATTGATTCTTTGCTTTTACTGTACAGAAAGATTTTGTGTGATTCTTAGAATCAAAGACCTGAGAAAGTTTACAGAATACATCTTTGTATTTTTAAGACATGTAAACTAGCTCTGAGAGAGAGAAAAACAAGATAAGATGAGCTGGCTGTTTAAAAGCAGTGCAGTGTCCAAAGAAGCACAACAGATTCCATGGAAAACACAATTAGTAAGATTTATTAATTCCTGCCTTCAAGTTAAATCTGAGCATAGTAGAAGACAAGATAACCTCTATTAAACTAATTAGCTTTTTCCAAAGGCTATACTTTACAGATTTAGTTACCATAGGCAAGAGACTTTTTCAAGGGTAACTACTGAATGAAGACACTCAAACCCCATTTTAAAAGAAGAAAATGCATTTTTAAAATACTGTAGGTGCTCATCAAAGGAAGGTGTGTCTGAGATACTCACAGAGCAAGGCATACTGCAAGCAAGGACTACAGAATTGCCTGAAAAGTGGTGAAGCCAACTTGATGAGGCCAAGTGGTAGTACTGGGATTCAGGCTTCATAACATTAATGTCTTGCAAGATGATTCAGGACTTATGAGGCCTTTTCCAGACTGGTTAATTTGGGCTTCATTTTAGTTGTACTTGTAAAATTATTTATATAACACCTGACTGTAACTTCCTTTCAGGTCTGGACAGATGGCTATTGCCCAGATGATCCTACCCATAATGACAAAATTACCCAATGGCCAGGCATTCACCGCTTGACCTGTGTGTTTGGGCTTTGAGAATCATCTGGCTAGTGCTTAAGAAGTTTTCAACTTAAATTTGAGTCAACTTTTGTTCATCTGTGTGCAGTCATGTGGATTGTATCATAAAAGATATCTTCCTGAACACAGAGAAGGATTCATAGATTTAAACAAATACAGTATAGCTAAATTTATGATGCAGTCAGACAGTTATTTTAGCAAATAAGCTGTTTGAAGCACATAAAAATAATATTGAGTAAACCCCAGACTGATGAAGAAGAAACTCCCACCAGTAACTCTGCCACAACACCACCATACTCCCCTGGCAAACAACTTGAGATGTGATAACTCACCAGATCATCTTGCCTGAGAGAGGAGGGTTGCCCTCTCAAATTGTGGATGATCAGAAGGGTGAGAATTCAACATGCGGGAAAAAGAGCAGATATTTATATCTACTGATCTTATCGTATCACTAACAATTCTCAACAGAAACTGGGTGGTTTGGATTGTAAACAAGAGCATTGTTGTAACTGGACTAAGTAATAATCAGCTGTTGTGCTTTGACTGTTAAAAACTTAATTGGGTGAACAACGAATTCTCTTGGATCTGCATATAAATTGTGTTCTTTGACTGACCATAAATGAGTGGTGCACCTGTTACTCCTCCCATAGTTCTGTGGAAGAATCTCACTCCTGACTGACGTGGCTTCTTTCCACTCTGACACTTCTATGCAGCTACTAATAATATGAGGCAAATTGCGTGCTGGTTTTGCGATGTAGTCTGGGGACCTGGATGAAGACTATTCTTTATTATGATACCTATAAAAGCACATTTCAACTTTGTCCTAGAAGGACAACCTGCTGAGATTCATTTAGTTTCCCCCTTAAGTTGTAGTCTTGCAAGTAACTATTGCTTGTTATGTCCAGCTGTGACAAAGGTTTTCAGAGATAAACTTCACTTCATTAGGCACTAAGTTAAAACTGGAAATCTATAGGGGTCTGTGAGTTAGGTGTTTGCAATGAATTCAGATCAAAGTGGTTTTCAGGTGCTCTGATCATTACTTTCAGAGCTCAGTCTGTGAGGTTAGTGCTTTCATACCGATACTTCTAGCACACAGGGAATTAATTTCCCACCTTATTCACTTAATGTATGAAGCACAAAGTAAACAGGTTCAGTGGAAGACAAGCATCCCTGGAGTGTTCATTTTATATAGCAAAACTATGACATGCTTTTTGCAGCTATCCAAGCCACCTGGTAACTAAAACTTCTAAGGAGTATAAAGTAGAAGATGGGACAGTACAAAAGATGATAAAAGGATTTTTTGACTGTGGCTGGAATAAAGAAAAGTAGTGTTAATAAAGCAATTTGAACAATAACAGTTGCTTTCTGCAAGGGTATGTACACACAGATGAAGCTGGATATGCATTTGTCTATAAGGGTGCATGTATGTGTGTATACACTTGCAGGCAAGCAAAATTTGGCATTGAGATTTAAAATGGAGTAAATTACACTTCAGTAAGGAAAACCAATAAAATATATTAAATTGCAAGTCATATTTGGATCAATAAGTACAGGTTAAAATAAAACATAAATTAAATGGTTTATTTCAATTTACATTGACTCAGATGATACTAGCATGCTTCCTGCTAACCACATCTGTGACTGCACCCTTAGCTTTGAACAGCTTTGTGCAAAAATGTCTTTATCTTCATTGTGCAAAAAAAGTAAACTTACCTCATTGTGCAAATAATGAACAAAAAGTAAGAGGTCTATCAAAAGAAATATGGGCAACTTAAAGATTTCTGACTCTTTGCAGGTCAAGGTGAGTGTTGGGAGAAGCCTACAGTGAACCAGCTATTGCTATGATCCAGTTTGAATTTAATGAAAGCGAAGTGGTATTTTCAGGACATACCTGGTAACATCACTAGAAAGACATCCTGTGGGCTTTCAGTGTGAGAACAATTTGAAAGGATACATCTTCATCCCTAAAGTATATTCTGTGTCAGTGAGGTCACCATTGCTTATTACTATAAAGCCATTAAACATCAATGTTACAGTTTAAAAATCTGAATGAAATTATACATTAAAACATATTTTTCACTGCAAGATGATTTCTTTCAGTGAAAAATGATTTCCCACATTTCTTTAGGCTTGTGGTATGTTAATTAATTGACAACCTCCCTGACACTGTGCTAAACTATCAGATCACTGTTCAACATGACATTTTTCAACCTGCTTAAAGAATCAGCACTACATACTTTGAGAATACAGGAATTCTTTCTAAACGTCTGCAGGATTACCTCATTATCCTTCTTTGCATCCCTCTGTACAACTTTTCCTCAGTGATACATACAAGAAAATGAAGTGCATGAATACAAGTATACATCCATATAAGCTTTTAATTCTGTGACTGTACTATGCATTGCACTGTGGAGTACTTCTCTAAAATTATAGCTTGTTAGCACAAAAATTTTAATAAAACAGTGAATAATGGTGAACTGTCAGTTTTTATATGCTTGAATGGGAATGAGAACGTCAAATTGTTTTCTGACCTTTCTGGGGTACTTATGATACTTTGATACACTCAGAAAATAAAATATATCAGAGACTTGCTTATTTTAAAAGCAAACAAACAAACAAAAAACTATCTCCTTTTTATCTTTCTCTATGTCCTGGGATTGAGTGAGTGGTGGGTTTTTTTGGGGAGGGGGGCTATAAGGGTGGCCCCCTGTAAAAAGCTTCACAAAGCTCCCCCAGCTCCAAGTCAGCTCCACTTCTGCACCAAAACTGAGCCAATCAGCTGCACCTCTGCGATAATGTATTTAAGAAGGGACGTGGTGACGAGCAGCAGGACTTGTGAGGAGGAGTTGCTGCAGCTGTGTGAACACCAAGGTCAGTGGGGGAATGGAGGAAGAAAGGAGGGGGGAGGTGTGCTGGAGCAGAGACCCCCCTGTATCCTGTGGTGAGATGGCAGGGCGCCCCCCCCCCGCCACCCATGGAGATCTACGGTGGAGCAGACATTGATTTATGGCCTGTTGCTCCTG